GACCCGCGGCGCTTACACATGATTAGCGTGTCCGGGCATCGTTCCCCTCCTTGCACGACGGGATGCCAGTCCCGCTCTGTCGCCCGTTGCTCACACGGGTACAAACATTGGTTATTTGCTGATTGCTGACATGCATGAACAGTTCAAGTTATGCATACTCCAGTGCGTAGCCTTTTTTACAATCCTGAGTTCATGTGCCTAAACAGAGCACGCTCCATTTCTCCTGTGGTCTGTGCCAGACAAATATGATACGTACTACAGATGCACAATGCATTATGTTCTTAACTGGATACATCTAAATACTAAGAGATAACTGTAGGACACTACAGTTAACCAGTGCAGTGCAGATTGGGTTGTTCTGATATTGCATTGAAAGCTTGCAAAGAAAGGAATTTTTTTTGCTACTGTTTAGTTGGTTTAATACAAGATATTGCTTCTGACCCGAGAGATTTATCGTACCTTTTGAACACTTAATTTCAACCCGTGTATGAGAGATAATGTTATCATGCAAATATGGTAATTAAATTAAAAGTAAAAATTGTAGCTCTAAGGTTGGAGTGGGTGATTTTCAGGACTCTATAAATGCTTGCCTTTGAAACCAGAGGACTGGACTCGGTGGCCTGAGAGGCACCTTCCAGTCCTATGTGTGTAAGGTTATCTGCATTCCTGTTTTGTTACACAGGTAGGGGGGGAAAAGAAAGAAAACCTATTTATGTAAATCTAGCTCTGCATAAACTTTGGTTTGAATCATTTAAACAAAGACATATGGGATTTATCTGTAGTTAGTATTTCTTTCTCCTGAGCCTTTAATAGAGCTATTTTTGTCAAAGCCTTTCCTTCCTCTTTCCACATACACCAGGGGCAGGCAACAATTTTGGGCAGAGGGCTGCTAACTGAGTTTTGGCAAGCTGTTGAGGGGTGCATGACAGGCAGCTCAGGGCAGATAAATAATAATTAAATTTTTTAGGGGCCTCGTGGACGGGATAGAATGGCTTGGCTGGGGGTTTTCCGCCCCCGGGCTGCATTTTGCCAACGTCTGACCTACACCCTCCTTCAGTCCCTAAACAAGTTTTGTAAGAAGGGATGCTTGCTTTTGAAAGATGACACCTTTGCAATCAAAGCTGAAGGGATCAGACAAAGAGCACTTAATATTCTGTAAACAACATACAGTTGTTGCTTTTTGACTTCAAAATGAAAAAAAGATGTGAAGCAAAGTAAAAAGCAGAAGGAGCCTTAAATTTTCAAACAAGCATATTATATCAAAGTATCAGCAGTGGATTCAGTTTTCACAGCATGGGAAGAGGTTTCAGAGGCATGGGCGGAAGTAGTGACCTTTGAAATTAATTGTGAATTTCCAAAATGCTACTTATAATTTAGGAGGGCAAAAAAAAAGTGCGTTTACCATTTCGCTATGTAAAGACCTAACTTTTATAGTAGAAGGATATGCTACAAAATCCATATCACTGCACTTTGGAAAATATTTTTAAGGGACAAAATATAAAATCAGTGAATGAATATCTAAATAGAATTAAACCACTTCAGGTTGAATTTTTTGATGACTGCACTCTTGGGAGATTTGTTCTATTAATTGAGTTTCATACTGTCACATTCCTGCTATTTTATTTTTAAAAAGTAAAAAACCCTTCCTGTGCATCAACATGGAATATTTGAGAATAGAATGATAGTTTTATTTTAAAAATTGTGATAGTCTTTAATTGTCATTGAATTAGGAATAGGAGGGTTAGACTCATATCAAACCTGTCATTATTTTAAACTATCATGTAAGTTTTCACAGCAGGCATTGTGGCAACTGTCCTGCCCTTTGATTTACTCCATTGCATTATGGCTCAATCTGTTGCAACATCAAAATACTTAGTTACTAGATAAGAGGTAAAAGTACAGTTATATTTGCCTAAATTACTTGAGTTGTGCACTCTTTTTTTGGCTAGAAGACAAAGTCAATCTGGGTTTTACTTTTAGGCCTGGCAGTACCAATTCTAAGCTCTACCTAGCAGGGGATATGGCATAGCAAGTTCAGTCTGGGAACTGTGCTAATTACAGCAGACTTTCATGGCCATTTAGTCGGCTTCTTCATAGACCAGATAACAGAGTACAAATTGCTGCAGTCGGTGGGGAAGCTCTGTAGGTAACTGGGGCACTATAAAAGCCATAGTGGCTAATGAAATCAGTATATCCAGGTATAACTAGCACGTAGGAAGGTAATTTTAGGAAGGGGTAACAATAAAGGAACATTTTTAAATAATCATGGAATGCACTGCTAGGGGGGTTATCAGTTATAGGTCTTTAACATGTACGTTACTTTAGGCAGCATTGCTGACACAGTATGCAAGCATTAAGATGATTTAAATTAATTCTTAAATAATATGTCTTATAGATGGCACAAAGGAATTGTACCCCATTTCTGTGTACAGATATGCATGACTGAGTTCATTTTTGCCTTTCATTGACACATGTTTATTGACTACCAGTAGATGTAGGGTAATTGCATTCATGTATGGATAGTTACTCCCATAACTAATCAGACTACTTTTTGGAACAGAGCAGAGCAAATCTTTAATCTGTTGAACATTTTTTCCAGATAAGATCAAGGCACCTATGTGTTTTTCAAGTGCATGAGCAAAGTGAAATGGGATAACACTTAAATTTTGTTCAGACATAAGTTACTCTGCCATGAAATTACTGTATACCAGTATAAAATGTTCCAATGTAATTGTAACATTTGTCTGCTCCTAAATGGGAAAAATAGGAAGTAAACCTCTACCACTTTGATCCTGTTTATGTTGGTATGGGAGTGGACATACATAAAAGTTGAATTGGAACAGCTGATGCATACTCCTGGAGCAGCAAGTCTGTTCAACTTGCCTCCTTTTAAAAAAAATATAAAGTTATTGTTTGTCCATAGCTTTAGCTTCCCATTTAATGGAATAGGTTATAACCCTAAATATGTTCAGCAGAACAAATGTATATGTTAGTAATCTTGGTGACTAGAATAAGATAAAATCTAAGTAAAAACTAGCTTTCACGTACAGTAAGGGAATGGTGTGTGTGTGTGCGTTTAAGTTATTTTCTGTGCAATTCTGTTGACTTCTTGTGGGTTGTGTGTCTTCACTTATGTTCCAAAATTACCTTGATGGATTTTTTAAAAACATCTTTCACAAGTAGATCAGTTAAAATGTACGTGTTTCTGGCTGTATCAAGAAAATAAAATCAGGGATGTATTTGGTACCATGTTGGTCTGAGACAAAAAGAAATGCAAAGATCTAGAACTCTTGGTTTAAGAAAATAAAATAGTGTTTTAAAAAGTCAAACACATTTTCTTATATTGTGTTCCATTTAAGTATATAGCCCCTGGAAAGGAGAAAAAGGGCTTTACGCTTACCTGGAGCATGCGCTTAGCTAAACTGGTAAATAGCGATTATCAATGACTCGTTGCTGCCAGTGCATTGGTGTTAGAAGCCCCCAAAATGACTAGCTGCTGTCAGTTTCAAGGTTTGTAATGGCCGGTTTGGGGGCTGCTATTAGGAACCTTGAAAATGAAGGAGACTTGAAAACTAGGTAGCATAATTCAAGGTTTCTGCTAAAAGACTTTTGACAGCTGCTTCCTCTTCAACGTTTCTGGCAGTTAACTGCAGTACAATTGTATTACAAAGGAGGCAGTGATACCTAAGAGTCATTTGCACTCATGATTCCTGGGTTTAACTAATATGCAGATAATTGATTGTTACAGTATAAGCAGTAGCTAAGTATTTGGCAATAACATTCTGTTATGCCAGTGGTGCTCAACCTTTTTTTTCCCAGCATGCCAAATGGGCAGTGAGTGCTTGGTCAGACTGCGGGCCAGATGGTGGTTGCTGCGCCAGCCCTGGACACTGGATCAGAATCACCATCTGGCCACGCAGAACAGGGTGGAAACAGCACAACCTGAGCCTGGCCTTGCAGGGGGGAAGGGGGCTTCACCTGGCCTTCATGGGGAAAAGGGAGGTATAGCCTGGCCCTGTGGGGTGGGGGTGGAGGAAGGGGAATGGCCTAGCTCCAATCTTGGCCCTGGTGGGGAAAAGGGGATGTAGCACAGTCTTGCAGGGGATAAGGGGGTGTGGGCTGGCCCTGCGGGGAGGAGAGGACACAGCCTGGCTCTGAAAAGGCACAGGAGGCTTGGGGTTTGGGAATTTGGTAGGGGGAGGGTGGCCATATTAATGGCTGTCACTCCCCTGCCACCAAACCCAAACTTCCTGACCCATGGGGAGCCCCTTGGGTTAGATGCAGTGGCTCTGCAGGCTGTATTTGGCTCACAGGCTGGAGGTTGAGCACCCCTGTGTTATGAAGTTAAGTGAACAATGTGCTTATCAGTATGCATATAAGTAGAGTACACTGTATATTATTAAAATGGTAAGTGTAATGTCTTACTTTATATACTTGCGTACATAAAGCTATTTTTTACTGTCAGCTGTTTTTTTTTTTAAGCTGAACTCAGTAAAACAGTGATTATGCTTTTGGAAGATGAACTGGGAATTCACTGACTAGAAAGATGTGGGTTCCTGGCTGAAAGAAACTGAATGCTTCATAAGAATAAATTATTCTGTGCAGTCTGCAGATGCCCTTTCTAGTATACTACCTCCTATCATCTGATCAGTGATCGGGGCTGGGTTATGTATTAACAATAATAGGGCTTGTTACTCTCTTGGTAAGGGGTGGAGTGCTTTGATATTTGAAAAACTGGGAAAATAATATTACAAACTTTTTATTGGCATCTGGATGTTTGTTGCCAGTGTATCCCCGATTTTTTTTTTTTTTTTTATTAGGTACAAAATACTTTTTTTCTTCAAAAGATCTCCAGTGTTTACTAATGCTTGGTGTTTGTCTTTATTTTCTACAGGCCAGTCAAGACACTTTTAGAATAGAATATGATACCTTTGGGGAACTGAAGGTCCCAAATGATAAGTATTATGGTGCACAGACTGTGAGATCTACAATGAACTTTAAAATAGGTGGTGCTTCTGAGAGAATGCCGGTAAGTAGCTTGAATCTATTTTTAGGTGTGCACTGATAGAGAATTTTTGGGCTGATACCGGTGGCTAATTTTTAATGAGCCATATCAGCTGATACCAGCCTGATTACCAATATGTGGCCCGGCAGCATGGAGAGTGGGGTCTGGCTGGTAAGTCTGTTGGGCGGGGGGCTGGGCAGGGTTGCACTAGGGGTGGGTGGTAGCGGTGCTAGGAGGCAGGGGGTTATGACATTTTGGGGTAGTTGTAGCCCCCCACATAGTTCCCTTCCCAGTGCTACCACTGCCTGCCCTGAGCACAGCCCTGGCTCAGCCTCCCCTCCTGCCCCCCCGGAGGAGCCTGGTGCTGCCCCTGACCTCAGCTCGCAGTGGCAGGCCACCCTCACCCCATGCACAAGCCCTCCTGGGGTGCACGCAGTGGTGGAAGGGGGAACCCTGGACAAGCCACTCACGGCTCTGTCCTGTGCCCCGCCCTGTGCCACCCCAGCTGTGCAGCCCCTGCTCCTGGCCCAGCTCTAGCCCCACTCCTTTCACCATGGGAGGGCCTTCATCTGCCCCTCCCCCCCCCCCTTCCCATGCCTCTTTCCCCCCACAACAGACTTACCAGCTGGATGCTGATCTCCATGCTGCCAGGCTGCACTCCTGGCTGCCTGTGTGCTGCACTGCGGCTGTGCATATATGCACGTGGCATTTATCAGTAACATTATCAGCCACATGAACCAAAAAATGCCAATAGCCGATAATGTTGATTTTCCTTTTATCAGCGCTGATATGATATAGGACCAATGTATCGGTCGGTGTACCTCAGTCTACTTTTTTGAAGTGTAAACTCATTTGGACCTGAGAATTGGCCAATTTCACTCTCATAGACAGGCTTCCATGTTCTTAACCTTTCAGGCATGATTGGAAAACTTGAATTGTCCTGGTAAGGAGTTTCCTCCATCAAATAAGATGGCAAGAATCTCCTCAAAAAAATTTAAGTTAACCGTAGCTTTTCAGTAGTTACTGTGTTATTCTAAATCCTTTTTTAAATAACTTGTTTGAACACAATATTTTAGCGTTAGCTTTTCAGCCGAGTGCTGTATTTTGCAGATTCTAAGGTGTAAAAAGAACTCTTACGTGGCAGTTTTCTATATTGAAGAGTTATCCTCCTTGCATTCTGAGGATTATTTTGTATAAATCTGAAAGGTTGGCATATTTTCTGTGCTGGACAGATTGAAACAATGTAGAATTTGAGTACCTCCACTTTGCCAGGCAGTGCCTTTTGCATCCAGTATAAGTGAAATGTAATAAGACCTTTGTCCAAAAAGGCAACCAATTTATTTTTTTTCCTGGTCTTTTGGTACAAGTATTATTTGAAATTTGTTGTGATCTGTATTGTGTCTTAGTGTACGGAGAATTAGTACGTACATCTCTGCAATTTCCTACTGCCCTGCTTGATTAGATCTTAGAGACATTTAATTATCACAGATTGTATGGATAATGACTTTGGACAACCTAACTCCATCCTTTTTGGATTTAGGCATGGAAGGAGTTAGATGAGCCTAGACTCTTCCTACATATAAAAAGTTTACCTCTTTTTCAATGCATCTTCATGTTTCAGGTTCAAGTTATAAGAGCTTTTGGGATCCTGAAGCGAGCAGCTGCTGAAGTTAATCAGGATTATGGTCTTGATCAAAAGATTGCTAATGCCATTATGAAAGCAGCAGATGAGGTAGGAGGATGCTGTTTAAAGCATTAGAACTGTGGTCCCTGTTCTATGTGTGCTAAATACCTTTCTGTAGGAACAGATTGTTTGAGAAAGGTGTATTCAATTTCCTGAATTGTTACAGTAAAGCATTAGTAACTGACTGGTACATTTTGTTTAATGACTTAAAATGGTCTACTTAGTTTTGCTTCTTATGTTTTATAGAAGCAAGTGGATACTTTAACGCATTTTGATATCTCTTTTTAAAGGTAACTTTTTCTCCTCACTACTACTACAATAAAGTTGTATTGAATTAATGCTGTCTTTGCCATCTGTAAAATAGGCAGCATAAAATCCTCATCAGACAGGCAACATAGAAATTAAGGACAGGGGATAGGATCAGCCATGTTGGTCTGTTTGCTGTGCTTCTTGACTGGGTGGGGGATTTTGGGTGGTAGAATCTCATTTGCCAGACAAGCCTTGTAACTCTTGACATTTGTGATTTTTACCATCTGCACCCTGGGTGGCATCTTGTCTTGGATTATGATTCATCTCAAAGAATTTCCTATGCCTCCAAATTTTAGGAAAAGATTACTGGTCCTGAGCCGTAACCTTCATTGTCATCCTCAGGGCCAAAAGGAGGCCAAACTATAGAGCAGTGATATTTCCTTTTAAGTTTATTATTTTGGTGTATACCCTTACCATTCAAAGTTATGGCTAATAAAAACGATCCCTTTTGTCACTAGATGTACATCAAAATTTCTCTTGGGTTGTTGGAGAGATTACAGAGTTATTCTTCACTAATTTTGTTTCTTCCTTGTTTCATATCCCCTTTCCCTTCCATTTTTGCACTTCTTCCTGTGGAGCTTCTTGCATACTCCGTTTTGAGAAATGCTGCTATAAGAGGAGGGAAGTGATTTGGTTCCCTTTTACCAGGCCAACTGCTAGGCACTTGGAACGGTCTGCCGGTTCTATGCCTTGTCTTTTGAGCTGGTGGTTGTCATGATCACATATCTACAGAGGCTGGGAGTTTGTTACCCTTCTTGGATGATTGGTTGGTCAAGGGCATTGTTTTCATGGGTATCAATAAACTAATCCATGTCATTGTACAGGTATTGGAAACCATTACCTAAAGTCTCCATTTGGTCTTGACACATTCATTTGGAGAACTCGGGTCTCCTCCTAGGCTACTATTTAGGTATGTGGAAGAAATCAAACTTCGCGTTGTGGTTGAA